CGGGGTGTAGGGTGTTTAGGGTTTAGGCTTACAGGCCCCCATAAGTAGATAGAATATTGCTTTAGGTCTATTATAGTAAGATCCCCCATATACCCCATATTCTATCTACTTAAGGGGGACTATAGGGAATGAAGAAATGGACCCCTACAGTAAAACCTACATCCCAAGGTAGTTTTAGGGTTTAGGGTTTATGAGGGATAAGATCCCCATATACTCCATATTCTATCTACTTAACGGGGACTATAAGGTTTAGGGGTTAAAAGGGTTTGGGGCAGGTGGCCATCAGTGCTTGCGAGACGGCAGAGGTAGCCCGAAGCCGGCAGGCTTAGCGACAGCAACCCTCGAGGCTTAGGCGGTTTTGTAGAGTCATAAACTTACTAGTTCTTAGTAAAGAATACAGAAATAATCTAGGGTTACAATAGATTATATAGGTTTTTTGTTGGGATTATTTTCCCTTGTTCCCTACTTAGAAGCAGCAAGTAAAGGGTTGCCATAGGGGCATGTAGGAGTTGTAGAGGGCTATATAACCATGCCTAGGTTTTCTGCTTAGCAGACTCTTGACCCCTGCCCTCGGCCCCTAGATCTTTGAGGGCCGGTCGTTTTTTGGGTAATGTTCAGATTTTTTGGCCAGACATATATGAGCTCACAGACTTTCAATATCTTTTTGGTTTAAAGAAATTGGTCCCTTTAGAAGAATGATTTGAACCGGACTTTCTCAAAATCTTGTCGTTCCATTGAAAAAATTTGCTTCTAAAGCAACTGATTGTTCAATTCCTTTTCCTGGCTCAATCTGCGGTTGGGGACAGCTTACAAAGCCTCGTTAAAGCCTGTTTTGCCGGCGGACGGGGTCCAGAATTTGCTGCCTAGTTCAGTTTTTGGCCTGAGGCTGTAGGAATCATATGCCACGAAAAATTATGTATGTGCATTTTCCGGAGTTCTACTGGGTTCTGTAGTAGTTTCTACGGGTGCTGCAGTAGGGTTACTTTGTTGGTTGTTGACAGAGACTATAGGCTGGGAAAAGAGAATGTCCTAAACCCTAAGACTGACTACCTTGGGATCATGTAGGGTTTACTGTAGGGATTCATTTCTTCAATCCCTAGAAAGAGACAAGAAGTCAACCGTAAACCCCAAGTATCCCCATGAACAATTTACTTTTCAACTGGTCTTTACATATGGTTGTCCGCCCCTTACAAACAGACAGCAAGGAGAAACCCAAGTTGCTGCAGATGTTGGCTGGGTTCGTGCTGCAGACTGACAGCTGGTTGAGCTCCTCAAGCTGAAGAATCCGGTTCTCCCTGACCGAAGTGTTGGGGTATGTTGGGGTGTTTACGTCCTGCTGCAGGGCACTCCGGATGTTGCCTGCACTTCCGCGTTGCCTGTCCCCTTTGCACGCCTGCGCGCAAGTCGCCTGTTCTGGGTGAACCAGATGGCCATGAATGTGCAAGACCTGATCCAGCTCATTGACTGTATACTCGCCAGCTACGGAACCTCTCCGGACTCCAGCGCTGCTTTTGGGGTGGTTGGCGAATGCTCCGACTCGGGATTCGAAGAGGCCGCATGGTCTGACATGTGTAGCAAGGAGTGGTAAATATGCCCACTCCTCTTTGAAACTCATGTGTTGTTCAATTGGCGGAACAGGCAAAAGTGACATTGGCCTTGAGACGTGGATGGATAGCAAGCGGGGCTTGCAGATATTTGCTTCGCACACTAGGTCTTATGTTCACATCATTCAGTGCGCATTGGCCCACAGGTAAAGTTCTTAGGCAAAGACTGGGATCAGCTTTACCCCAGAATTTTCATATGACTTTAATAGTGATGGTCGGGATGGGAAATAAGCACAGCCGCAACAAAAGTAGTGGCAACAGCAGAGCAAGTAATTAGTAGTCAAAGCGACAGCAGCAGTAGCAATTAGTGGTAGTTTTAGCAGCCACGATCCCCGAGCTAACGGGATGATAGATGAATTTGACGCGCCTTCAAGCTTTTGCAATGCTCATCAGACACACCGATGGCCGCATAATGCAAAAACCGACAAGAGCTGGTCATGGCCGCTTTGCAGCAATCCGGGCAAAACGAGAAGAGTAGTAGCAAAGGATCAATTAGTTAAGATCGCTGCTGCTGCTACTGCTGCTGCTGGTAGTTGCGAAGTGATGAGATCGATCTTGTGAGTGCTATTCTCGGCTTCTGGCCGTTAACTAGCATCTTTGTTGCCATGACCAAGCTTTGGCGTGGCTGCTGTTTTCGCGGTCGCAGAAGTATATGCCCCAAGCTTCCCAGCAATCCTGTGCATGCCTGCACAGGTAAGCTTCGCGGGTATTCGCGGTTTGCTTCGACCTGCATGTCCTTTTTCTGGGTTGCTGTTAAGGAACTTAATTTAAGTCACTGCGTTGGGGAAACCACATTACGTACTATACATACAAATTAGGGTAACTTAATTCAAGCCCCTTAGCAGCAATCCAGTTTTCGGAGAGGTCATGTCACGAGCTCGTGCTTTGATCCAGCCGTTGGCTGAGGTTTCGTTGCGGCCCTGGCAGTGATGTGGCCGCTGACTTTTTTGGGAGACCGCCAGGCCACCTGATCGCTTTGAGCTTTCCATATGAGCTTTTGTCTAAACTCCATAAAGGGTAGTATTATGGGTGATCAAGGGGGATGGGGATACTAGGAGTTCAGACTATAGCTCATATAGATATCAATACTGGAATATGCACGAATTCGGGACATTGTGGCATGTGTTGTGCGCGCCCGTTTTGGAAGGCCACAGTAGCGAATCGTCTTCGTTGCACCGGCACTCGAAGCATGATTGCTGGCCGGTGGGCAGCTCATGCTGATACCTAGTCTTGCATTTGCCATTTCTGCTGCTCAGCCAGGGCTGCAGTACCAATTTCAAGCTAGGCACACAGGAGGATATAGAGCGGTGTCTATCAATACTGTTACTAGTAAAGATGACGCTAGTGGTCCGCAACATACCTACCTAGGCTTAAAGAACCACTGCCGTCGAGGGAGTCTCAACACGTGCTGTCCTGCATGGTAGTTTCCCAAACTAAGGGGACCCCAATATAGACCCCAAAATACTATAATCCTTATAGGGACCCCCAAAAGGGTACCCCTAATTTTGGGAAACCCCCGCATGGCTACCCCAAGGCCCCGGCGGAGACGGAGTCCCTGGCTCATAGCTAGGACACGCGCAGCAGGGGTTATTTAGGGGTTATATAGGGGATATATTGGGGTTATATAGGGATAATGGAAAAGAAAATGGAAACCCCTAGGGTTTAGGGTTTAGGGTTTCTGCTTTACGTGCAGCCTGTTAAGAATGAGAGAGAAGATAGAAGGTTCCTGCACTATGGGGGGTTACATGGGGGCTACGGTAGGGATCCGTTCCTCCTTTCTGCTGAAAACCCGGAAGTTTTCTGCGAAACTCCAGATTGTGTGTAGTTGGGTAGCATCTTGACATGTAACTGCAAAGCCCGAAAACATGTTTTTCCTCGTGAGTTCTCACCCGTCAGTCAAGGTTGTTGAGCCTAAGCCTTGAACCTAAACCCCCAACCCCAAACCCTAATCCCTAAATCCATAACCTTAAACCTTATAGACTCTCAATCTAGAGGACTGGCGTTGGGCCAATGAGCTGCGATGATTGGTGGTGGTCAGGTGGCCCGGGCGATGAGAGCGAGGACGAGATCTTGGTGCCTTGTTTGCACATCACCGGTACGGAGCAAAAGGGTGACCGTGCTGAGAAAAGCAGATGTCATGACAGCAGCAACAGTTCTCTCCCTCCTCCTGATGCCCCTCCCGTTCTTTTGTCGATGTAGTAGGTGGCGAGGCAGAAGCAGGAGGAAGAGCAACACCAGACAAGAGGAGGAGGAGGAGAAGTCCTAGCAGGGGCGCTGTTCCCCTGCTCAACCTTTTTGATGGTTCCGGACATCAGGTTGTTGTTCCCATTCCTGATGCGGCTGCAGCCCGAGACGTCGTGGTTGACATCAGGCCTGATACTGCCTGTGTTCTTGTCAGCTAGAAATAAGATACATAGGATGCAGGGGAGTTGAGGGAGTCCGCGACTAGCACATGCCAAAATCAGAAGAGGTTTTACAGGACGCCAAACTAGACAGAACGCAGCTGTACCAGCATGTGTGCCATAGTCTAAACTCCTTAAATGGGGTTATATAGGGAGTATTAAAGGGGGCTTATCAAGGGGGGACTATTCTGGGGGATACTAGGAGTTTAGACTATGGCTCACGCGGTTATGCCTCAAGTGCAAAATGGTCCCTCCTTACAGCCCTTGCATTCCCACCAAAAGATTGTTTTCTTAGCGCACCGAAGAACAACTTGCTTTGGTTTCAAACTTGTCCTAACCCCCACGCACGCCAAGGCTTCAACCCAAACCCTGAGCCCCACTTCCGGAGCCCCGCTTCCGGAGCCCCGAATCCTTTCTCCCAACCCTGAACGAGCCTGTACGCTCCAAACCCAACACCCCAAACTCCAAACCCTGAACCTCGAAACCCAAACCCCCAAATCTAACTCCCAAACCCCAAGCCACAAACCCCCCAACCCCCCCAAACCCCAAAACCTAGAACTAGTAGTTTACATATTCTTTTCCATTATCCCAATATGACCCCTATAATCCCCATATACCCTTTTAAAGTACAAAAGCTTTATCAGGCCCGGTTCCCTCACAATCGGTTTGAAGGGCGAGGCTCCGGTGCTGGAGGGTCCTCTGTGGAAGGAGATCAAGGCAGCAGCTGTTTAGGGTCTTTGGTTTAGTTAGGGTTTAGGGTTAGGTATGGGGTTTGAGGCTTGGGGGAACACACACAGATGTATGTATATATATATATAGCTCTATATATATATATATTATCGCGGTCCTGGGGATCCCACCCCCCCCATCCCCCCCATGGTATGGTCCCCCCCTCCCAGACCAAACCTTTCAAAAGTGCCAACAGTCACAGAAATGGGAATTCTGGAGGCTGCCATCCTTGTAACTGTCGTCACTTTCTCATGCTTTCGTCGTGTCTCAATAGTCCCAGCAGTTACAGGGATGGGGCCCCCTAAAGTCACGATCCTTGCAAGTGTCATCATTTTTGGTCCTGCGTGTGGTCTTGGCGTCTGAAAAGCGCCAACAGTCACAGGGAAAAGGCCTCCCGGGGTCGCGATCCTTGTAGCTGTCGTCACTGTTATAGACTTTCGTGGTGTTTATACCTGGGGCTAGAATTAGCTCTACTTAAGCTCCATCGTGAGCTGGCGCTACAGGAACCTCCAGATAAACTTGTGTGAAAAATCATTAGAAGAATTAAGGTGACAGCATTAGAAATGATATGGGATATGAAGCAGGATCAGCTACGAATGCCCATCCTAGTATACCACCACACCCACATCGACAGGACTGCCAGAACCGCAGGACCTCAGGAGGGGGGGGAGAATCACCAGCACAGCATAGGTACCACAGCGTGAAGCATCCTCGAAACCGTCACCTCCAAGTGGTGGCTGCCGGCAATTTCATAGCGGATGGAGCTGGCGGAGTTATGGCCCGGCAGGACGGTAAAGGCCGTTGTTCCAGGCCAAGCTAAGCTTCTGTTAGCCGAAAAAGTCAAAGATGCAGGGCCCCCCCCTTATGGGTTTGTTCGGTGGTGGTCTTATGGGCTAGTTTGAGTCGTGCCAGTGCGTCGGCTGTCGCTTCTACAATCTCCAGCGTTGAAGCGATCACGTGGAAGATGGACAAGGAGTATAACAACTTTGTGGAGGACAAGTTTGAAGGGAACTGCGGTTTTGATGCTTTCAGGGACGAGTCGGTGCAAGCCGTTGGACCATGGGAGCAGGGAGCAGTCTTCTATCAAGAGGATGAGTCGAGTGGTATATTTCATTCAGCCATGGAGGTCGAGGACACCAAGTTTTTCTTTTTCCGTACTGAGAGTGTCTGTGCGTCTCCGTCGGTTGCAGCTGGGAGCACAGCGGAGTTTTTCAGGCGTTGCATGAACGAGGACATTCTCAATTTTTCAACTGCGGGTATCTTTGGAGGGATCGTCGAAGACACTTTTGGGGTCGAGGACAGCTTTTTGCGAAGTTTTCATGGCATTTCAGTTCAAACCGTGCAGTATGGCTTGTCGGTAAGAAGAGATGAAGGGATCCAAGCTAAGATTTGGGCGCCTAATTTCAAGTTTTGCAGGCTGCATTTTTTCATTTGTTCTGTGTCATTTCGGCTCAAGTCGTGGACCACATCACAACGAACGAGTGGCAGCTTCGATCATGCGCTGTTCCGTCGGCTACAGCCGGGTATGAGGACGGCTTTTTTGATTTCAGTTTTGGGTCTACGGTCACTTTGCCTCAAACCGGGGCGTGGGAAGGAACTGAAGCTGCATTTGAGGGCTCAGACGATGGGGGCCAACACAAGAAAGAGCAAGGGCTTTGGACAACCTACACAGCAAGGCGTGTATGACTGGATTACTGTATGCGATATCGATTATGGCGTTATCGCTTTTGCAGGCTTTCAGTACAATGGGCTCACAGTCGTGGGTGCGACAGTTTCTGGAGGAAGTACGTCGAGCAAGCGACTGGTTGCAAGGATGGCGTTACAGCGATGGCGTGAAATTCGCGGCCGATGTCATGGCGTGGTTCGTTGCAAAGGAGAACACGGAGGAAGGACGCTACATTCGGCGAGTGCGGAAGGTCATCGGCCGTCGATATCGATTAGCAAAGCTTGGAGGTGGATTGCACGGTTTGCGCATTAACGCGACTTGGGGACAAATGGGCCCGTGGAGAGCTCAGCGTTTCGGTGCCTCAGCAGGGGGCCGTGGATGTCACATGGCTCATGCTTTTCGCGGAGGAGGGGATGAAGACGTGCGCGGAGGAGGAGGAGGAGGGGGAGCAGCCGATACTAAACGCAAGCCAAAGGAGGCAAAGCTTCTTGTTGTTATTCGCAGAGCGCTGGCAGATGACGATGATGAGGGCGAGGATGACGATCAAACATTGCTGCAAAAGGTTGAGGAGCTCGTGAAGAAGATGGACGACCCTAAGAGGAAGGCGAGTTTTCGGAGCCATCTATGCAGCGTTATCGAGAAGTTCGACAAGATCTCCGTGGGCAGTTCCGCGGCCAACAGCAAGGAGGGCGACAAGCAAACAGTCAATCCGACACGGCGCAAACAAAGAAGTTTCTACAGCGCGGACTTGTGGAAGACAAATGCAGAGAGGTACAAAGAAAACACAAAGATACAAAAGGCCCCGCGCATTATTTGGAACAAAGGAGATGTTACGAGTGCTAGGGTGGTCATTCGCGCGCTTGAGGAGGGCGTCGGGGTCGAGGGCAAGACTACAGTTTGCACACGCGAGCAAGCGAAAGAAATGTGGGAGTTGGTACAGCTACACGGACTCACAAAGCAATCCACGGTGCTTGTGGTCAACGATGGCGGCGCCATTCCTCAGGATGGAGCAGCGCAACAATGGATTCTTCTTGAAGGTGGGGTACCTCAGCGTTTTTGGGTTTGTGGTTTGTACACAGGCCGGGACGGTTGATCTCAAACACGACGTTCAGGAAGTCAAGGTGGCCGAGGACGTGGTTTCAAAGCTACAAACACCGAACCTATTTGCCTTACGTCTGGGGCGGTGCAGTGCTTCATGTCGGTCGAGGACTGGGGCAAGCTCGATACCAGACCGGAAGGTTGTCTATTTCGCTTGGGTTTTGAGAAGCAGCAAGTGTTGGAGGTCAAGACGTATGAGTGGAAGGTTTTCTGGGACAGGGACTCCAAATAGGTCGTGGGCTATGTCAAGGTTACAGAGCAGCAGAAAGACAAACTTTGCAGCGCATCTGGGAAAGGGGGCATTTTCGTGCAGAAGCTCAAGTATGAAGGACAGCAACACGTGCGCTGGATTTCCAAGGACGAGACGCAGACTTGCGAGGATTACTTGCAGGCAGTTTTCACAAGGAAGCAGATGGGAAACTTATTGCCCACATGAAGGGTGGTGGCGCTTCGCTTGGCATTATAGGATTGCCGGAGGTGGAGGGGAAGTTCAAAAGCCTTACTGTCAAGAACGTTCCCAGTTCTTGGGGGCCAGCTACAGTCAAGTGTATTTTGAAGGCACAAGACTGGAAAATCGCTGAGAGATTGACGCCGCCACGTAGATCTACGCATGGATGGTTGGTTGGTGGTGTACCCCCAGAAGGGGGAAAAGATCTTTACGTCTACGAAGTCAAACACAAAGACAAGGAGGTCGCGATCACTGTGGAACTGTGGAACCATGGAAGAAGAAACGCTCAGCGCCCGCTGAGGAGAGGAGATTGTATGGTTCCAAATGGTTTTGGTCCGGTATGCAGGACGAGGTCGAGGAAGATGTGGTTATGACAACTCACTTGGACAGCGACAACAAGGATGAGGCGCGCGTTAAGGATACTACTGCGGCTTCCGCGAGGAGAACTACTATGCCAACTGGTCTGTCGCCGCCGAAGAAAAAGAAGCGGAGCGATGCACAGTCGGAATCTATGGACGGGAAGCCAGGCCCTGACGGAATTGAGCTTGTTGACGCAGATGGAGAGGGAGCTTGTGGCTTTCGTTCGCTTGGCTCTTGTCCAGAAGAATAAGAAGACTATAGAGGAGACTATGCCTAAGCTTTGGGAAACACTTTGCGATGGCGGGTGGCTTCTTTTCTGCCACTGGGGAGCGCGAAGGCGGCCCTGTTCCTACCGCTGTGGCGGAGTTTTTGGAAGCTTGTGAACAGATGGATCTGTGGCCTTGGCATCGAGGCTGCGGCCAAGGTATGCAATGTCGATATTCTGGTTTGGGAGCAGCGCGAGGATGGGAAATGGGAGATTGTTTTACAGGTCCGAGCAGTGGAGGGTCAACGTTGTGATATACTTCCGTTGGTTTGGGTCAACGACCGGTCGCGCTTTGTCAATACGGTTCGGCCTAAGGAGGGTGGCCAAAGCACTGGCAGGAGGATGTGGAGACCCAGCGCAAGGTTAGTATTATTCGAGCAGGCGGAGGCGATGACGATGACTCTCTCAAACGTGCGGACACGAACAGCGAAAGCAGTTTCATAAAGCCAGCGCAGTCGACTTTGACGAGAAGCCGTGGCGGTCCAGTACAGCTCAAGCACAAGCAATCCAGTTCTTCGACTTCGTTTCGGCAAAGGGCGCAAGCGAAACGCATGGCCAGCTTGTTTTCCGAGAACTCGCCCTCAAGGAAACCCAAGCAACGCAGGTTTGGAGTTTGGAGAGGAGGAAAAGGTCGCGACTACTACGGCGAAGCCTGGTAAGAAGTTGCGGATCAACCAGGTGGAGCCCGGAGCAGAACGGTCGTGGTGTTGCAAAAATTGGCAAACAGACTTTGACTTTCCGGCCGGGCAAGGGACCCAATTCTGGCAGGAGGCTCAGCGATCTGAGAACGAGAGACTTGATGATGCGCTTAGGAGCGGACAACAAGATACGGCAGCAACAAGTATTATGAACTCCGAGTCTTACGGTACCTATGGAGCACAGGTCTTGGACGTGCTCAATTTGCAAGAAAGGCCTCCCGACTATGGACTGTCCAAGTCAGCTTCGGGCATCAGTGGACAAGCACTTCGCCGAGGAACACCCCGGTGTCAATCGAACAAAGGTATATAGAAAGAAGCAAGGGGGCACGAGCCCACGCGAGAGGCTATGAGCAAGCGTGGCCAGCACGTGGCACAAGTGATGAAGGAGAAACGCCGGGAGCTGATTGCGCAGGTGAATGACGAGACGGACCACTATGTGAAACCTATGGTCATGTTGGTGAATACCCGTCAGCATCATCGAGGCCAACAAGAAACAGAATTCCTGGTCAAAATATGCCTGAAGGTCAAGATGCCAGCGAGGTTCATGGAGATTGAGTGTAAGAAGGACAAAAGCACTTTTCTGGATCCAGCTGGACGTATATCAAAAAGTGGCCTATTCATTCCCTTGGCACGATACAGAGCATGGAACTTGAGACAAATGTTGGATTGGTGCATCTTGAGCGACACGGAGAAAGCAGAGGCCAGACAGTGGGCACTTCCAGTACACAGACTGTCTCGCAAGACTGCTTTTTACGAGGTCGGTGGGAGCAACGAGGGAATATGGGCGCAAATTTCTGCATTATGGTTATTCACCACCTTGCGGCTTTCGTATAGGAGAGGCATCTAGCCTGGGACCCCGGGCTAAACGACGAGCAAACAGTTTCCAGAACCAGCTGGCCAACTTGAGTTTTTTTCTCTCTCAACGTGGTCGGCAGTGCGCAAGGGTGGCGTAATATCAATGAACTGAAGCAGGGTGGCATCAATGCGGATGTGTTTTTTTTCACGAGGCCGCTTATTCGGATACGGAATTTCGTTCTATAAGCAGCGCGGCGAGAGCAGCGGGATACATTACCTGGTACGTGTCTGGCTACGTTGGACGGTGGCGCGTCTCCCGTCTCAAGGACGGGGTTATGGTCGTCATGTGGAACTGGCTTCGGGCCCAGCAAGCCTTCTTTTAGAATGCAAAGCGTCGTCTTGGTCAACGCTTATTTAGGCCACGATGAGGGCGCAGATCACGTGGCTCAGTCCATCAAGCAAACGTTTTTTGGCTTGCGGGCCTTCGAGAGCTATATCTTTGGAGACAGCAATCCGACGCCGGAGGAGAAGACATTGCTTGCAGCTATGGGTGGCGCTTTCGGTGCTCGGGCTATTTACACTTCGGGTAGGGCCCTTTCGCGTTGGCAAGGGCCGTGATTCGTGGACTACATTTTCGCTTCCGGCGCGGCGGTGGGATCGGAGCAGCACAGTGCGGAGAATTGGTCCGATCATAGGCGTTTATTACGAGGGCAAATATTTCTTTTGGAGACGTGGACAACCAGCAGGAGCTTATCCCTTGCAACTGCTATGTCTGCTATGTGCCTGTGGGGGAGGAGGGCGCGAAGGAACGGAAGGAAACAGAACAGCAGTCTTGGGCGCGGGAAGCTGCGGCTTTTCAGGGTCCGGTGGACGACGTGCTTAATGTCGCTACAGAGGTCTTTGACACATATGGTTGGTGGAAGCTTTGGCAGCAACGCTTGGAGCGGGTGTTTCAGAGAGCAGCTTGCGTTTTACAGATGTCTGTTTTTTGCCTACAAAAGGCCGGGCGACCACAACGTTACAAGGGCGAAGCGCCCAAATTTCGCAAGAAGCAACATCACACTCGGAAGGTCTATGGCGATGAGGAGATTTTTCAGCAGCTTTCGAACTTGAGGTCGAAGATCGTCGGGTCTTCCTTTTACTATCCGGGCATTCGCGCGGCTGATGTCGGGGAAAGGCTTCGCGCTCTACAAGAACACGACAAGCAACGATGTTTGCAGAGCTGGAAACAGAAGTATACAGGTCGGAACGCATTCAAGTGGATGAAGGACTACAAGATGGCTATGCGTAACAATGTCGTTGATGACGCGGTCCCCGACACGCAGACTGCCTAAGAGATGCTTGCTGGCCTGCGACGCTTTTGGGACCCTTTTTGGGATTGCTTTACAGATGACCAGATCGAGGCTCTTCAGCGTACCTGGGGTCCTGGTTTTCAACAAAGGGACCTTCCTTTGCCAGGGGGCGAGACTTGGCTACGTTACATGCAGAAGCAACGCGGCAAATCGCGTGGCACGCGGAAGAGTTAGCGGTGCTACCCTTGGATCACTGGAATATGCTGGCTACTGCAGTGGCATCCATGGCACGTCGCGGTGTTCTTCCGCGGGATTGGGGGTGTATTCGTCAAGCGCACATTGTCAAGCCCAACAAGGCGGAAGCTTTGGTTTATCCCATGAATGCTCTCAGGCCAGTGTCCATCATGACGGTGTGGTGTCGGGCTTGGGTGTCGGCAATCATGACATCTCAGGACGCCAAGGCCTGGCAACGCGATGTTTTACCTCCGAACAAGTGGGTGGAAAGGCCAATGAGGACGTGCTGGCGGCGCTATTTCCAGTGGCACAACGGTCAAAGACACATTACATGGCAACGCTCGACTACTCGAAGGCTCTCGAGTACAGCAGCCCTCGCTTGCTGGTGGCAGCGTTGGTTTGGTGTGTATGCTTCCTTTTTGGTGCACGCTATTGGAAATATTTGGAGAAACCAAACCTTGGCTTACGTGGCACGGGAACTACCTGGTTGATGGTGTTCATATCTCCCATGCAGTCATTACCTCAAGGCGATCCGGCGAGCCCTATGGGACTAAATGCGGTCCTTTCTTTCGCGGTGCGCATGCTGAAGAATAATTGGCCTAACAGCAAGAACCTCCTCTTTCTGGATGACAGGTCGTGGGCTAGTCCCACTCCTGATGAAGCGGTGCAAGTGCTACACGCGTGGCATGAGTTTTTCGCGTCCTACGGCCTCAGAGAAGTTTTTCCAAGTCACAATTTTTCGCGCACAAAGCCGCTATGAGACGCAGATTCGAGGCCGCCTTGGGCGAGGCGGTCCGTGACAATATTGTATTACTGGGCGTTTCCTTTAAGGGGGCACGCAACCGAGCTATGACTTCGAAGGAGCAGTCGCCTATTCAGCGTGCTACAAACATTGCTTGCAAGGCCTCGGTTTTACTGGACTACTGTGGGAAACTACACGTTGTCACGCAAAGGGCGTGTTCGGATGCCAGCTGGGGATGGATTTTCTGTCAAGACGTGCAAAGCCTTCGAGGTCGCCTGGAGGAGGGCGGGCCTTGCGCCTACGAAAAGCAAGCCGGCCATGGCAAGACTCTTACTGGGCCACGGCGTGGACCTGAACTTCGTTAGCGGATCTATGGCTCCCTCGGCTTTGATGAGGGCGACGCAGCAGCAGCACAATATTGACCGGACATCGGTTATTTTCAGAGGGTGTCTACTTGTTTGCAGAAACTGGGTTGGAGGTATCTTCGACTATCCCGTCGGTGGAGGCGCGGGGATGAGTATATTTCTCTATGTGACAACATTGAGGGCACTAGACACAAGCTTCGTGAAGAGTGGCGTCAAGACCAATAGGGAGGGCGGACCATTCCAGGGGGAGTGGGGGGGGTAGCAACCCTGGATCATATATATATATATATAGAGAGAGGAGTGGGCTAGGTAGATTTCTATATGTAGCAACAATGGCGGAAAGATAAAGGGAAACGCAAAAGGAAAGTAGGGGCATGTAGGTTGAAATTAAGGGTTGATTTGGAAGGTCTGATTTGGCTTTGTTTTGAAACTGGCAAGCGCCCGTGGGCCTCATTGCTGGGTGGTGGATTATGACCTACTAAACGCGACTGAGGTCGCGGCTTGGGGCCTGAAACGCGTGCCAGACAGTCAGGCAGTCAGACCCCCCCAAGGCAGACAGTCAGACAGTCAGGCCCGCAAAGGGCAGACAGCCAGACAGTCAGACGTGAAAAGCAAGCAGTCAGACGTCTGCCTTTCGTGTCTGACTGTCTGCCCTTTCACTCACATCTGACTGTAAACCCTGCATGACACCATTTCTCCATTTCATTCTCCATTTTCTTCTCCCTTTGATTCTCCATTCTAAGGACGATATCCGTAGACCCTAGCACCAGCCCTGGGTTGGAAAGGGATCGATTTGCAAACTTAGCTTGCTAGGCGGCATGGTGATACATCTTTTCATCTTCCTTAAATATGTTGCATGTGAAAGCCAATTTTTCCCAAATGATTTGGAGCTGCTATAGCGCTACCCAGGTTTCGCATATGTTTGTGGCCCACTTCCAATTCGTTGTCATGCTGATATCATAAACCACCCGCACCATCCTGTCATCAGGTGTTCTGTTCTCCCTGGTCTCTCTGTTGGAGAGAACTGACACGTGTCAAACATGGTTAACTGTTTGGCAGGTCTTTTCGTGCGAGAACCGGCTTTTGGCGAGACGTGTGTTGTTTTTGAGGGGTAGAACTCAATTTATGCTCCCCGTACCTGACGTCCCTCTTCATCGGCAATCTTGGTCCTCCCGAAGGGAAGTTGGGGATGCTGTTTTTTTTTCGGCAGTATCTGGCTACTAAACTGGGTTGTTGGCTGTTAATGAACTTAAATTAAGTTACTTTAACGAGGAACCCTACGTTGTGGTAATTTGTTTGAAGCGCCTTAACAGCAACCCGGTAAAATAATGGGGCACGAAAGTTTACCAGCTGCTTAACATCAACGAGATGTTCTCATGGGTTCAAGTCCCATCACGCCGTCGTACCGCCCATGTTGCTTGTCCAAGGTTTTGCAAGAGGCTGGAGGAGCGGTAGTCAACGTAGAAGCCTGAATCGTCATTTGTAAACTATATCCCCCCAACCTTGTTCTATTCCATTCCTTTGGGCCCCTACATTATTTTGAAATTCAGCGAGTTGAGGTGAGCCTGGGGCCGGGATGGTGTATGGGAATTGGTCCCATTCTCTCCGATCTCTCCAGGCGGACGAGTCTGGATGGGTCATCGACCAAGAACGTGGACAACGCTGCATCATTGTCACACTCATCAAGCGAGATGTCCGAAGCCCAATTCGAGCCTGTTTCGTCCCAGCATTCACATGTGAAGCGCGGTTTTAATTCTGATTTTTGGTCAATGTAGATCTGGCTCCTTTGCAATGCGCCTATGTCGTGTCTAATCTGGTCGACCATACGTGAAAGCTATAGGTCATGTCATCTCGCCAGTCAGTCAAGGTGTGGATTGTGCCTTTGCCGCAACCTGTAGGGATGGAGGGTTTAGGGGTTAGAGACTAGGATGTATTTGGGGTTATAATACGGATAATGGCAAAGAAAATGGAAACTACTATATTCTAACGGGGTATATATTGAGGTTTCTGAAGATTTCATGCCACACATGCTGATGCTGTTCCTGCTGCCAAGCAAGGATTACGATTTTCTGCTGAAGTCCCACGCCGAATTAGCAGCCGAGTCAGGGCTGGAGAGAAATCGATGCAGTAATGTGGGTGGTTGTCAAAATTATGGTCCCTTTTTAGATCCCTATTATAACACGGCACCTAATATTTAGGGTACCCAAAAAGGGATCACCATTTTGACAGCCAGCAATGTGGGGGCCTGAAAATTGCCACCTCCCTTGTGTAAGTAGGGCACTGGATAGCTCAAGCAGACCTCAAACTTGTATTGGTTGGTAACTATATAGGCCCCTACAGTATGCTTCATGGCATTGCATGTGTTAGTTGATGTTGGCGGAAAGGTTGGACGTTGGACTCAGTATTCTGAGCGCTAACACACGCACGCAATGAAGCCCTACTTCTTGAAAAGTCAACAGGCGCGGACTGAAAGGGGACTATTCACTGTTGACTGGTATTCAGTTCTACACCCTTACATTTCTGGTCAATCGATTTTCATTGTAGTACAGTAGAGGCTTGTTTACTTAGATGTAGGGAATCCGTACTTGGAATTATGTAGAGCTCCTTCCGATTCCTGTTGGTAACTTTAGAAAACATTTCTACAACACCTTGAGGTGCGTTTCGACCCGTTTTCTTGCACAATGTGGTTTTCACAACCTCACAAAACAAATAGACGCCTGAAACATACAAGAAGTCCTTCATTCTGACTTGATTTCTTTAGAATTAGAATGTGAAAAACTGCTATTTTAAAAGCATTACTAAACCAATAGCAACCTAGGACATGAAGCAGATCCCTAATCCTACGTGACTGGGACATCAGATTCCTTGATACAAGCTCCTTCTATAGAAGCCATATGAAAACACAAAGAAACAGGGAAATACAGGAGATCCTTGACTCCTCCTTGTGATTCGTTATAACAGGCCCGAACTACCGCAGGATCTGCTATTTCATGATGAGCAGCCTCTTAAGTGGCCCCGAGTAAAAGTAGTTTGCCCCTCTTTAACGTTGTCTTGCAGGATTCTAGACTTGCACTCGCAGCAGTTGTTAACTGGAGAGATTGATGCTAGGTGAGTTTATTCCCAGGAGAAGAGATTGATTAGAATAGGGTTTGGGTTTCATTCATCCACGCCACGTCTTCGTGATCCCTCAGTGCGTGATTCTGATTCCGGTGGTCACCCCGCGGCTATGTAGCGGGGAACCCTAAACCCGAAACCTCACAGTTGATCGCTGTAGCAGCATGCCTTCCGGCAGGCTCGAGTCATATCATGTAGGACATAGTTCTTGAATCAATTATTGCATCTCATTTGAGCTGTAGTCTAGATACTGGGAATTCAGATTATAGCTCATCTGGCATAACATTCATGGACCGCCCCACTACTTTACGACCCCACTAGGTTCCCTCTTCATCCAGCTTAACTCGCCCTAATTAAACATGAAATACCGTTGCCATTTTGCAGGGGCTCAGACCTGTACAGAACATCCAGCCCCCGCGCAACTACTGGGTTTGCCCGGCATCCTGGCTTAATATGGGCATTTCTCAAAACAACCCCTATATAATTAACCCCTCATAAGGACCCCCCATAATCCTTCAATATTTTCTGAGATCTCCAGGGCCTCCCTCTTTAAGCAACTTCCATATCGAATGCTTGTGGTAGAAGTGCAGCTGTTCTTCTGCATGGTTAATTCCAAGACTTCTTTGCAGGCCCATGCATCATTCTCTGTACCAGGGTTGAAATGAGTGTGGTCATGTGTATCCATGCTGCCCGTTTCTATCATCAAGGTTTTTATTGCTATTGCTTGCCACGTCTATCACCGCTGCTTTGATACCGCAGGCCCTTCTCATGTTCGTGAATGTTAATTAAGGAATTGGCAAAGATTCACAAGTCCACTGCAAGGCAAGACGTCCGGCGCCAGCAGTAACTGAACCTCCTCGAGATCTTGTGACGTGCCCTGGAAAGAAGTAAGGATGCCACTGCTCAAACATTGCATGATGTTTTACCGTCTTGATCTATTCCGAAATAAATTGATGACCCTGAACCCTATACCCGAAGCACCCCCCCTATCATTTGCAACCCAAGGTATGCATGTAGAGCTGGTCTGGCAAATCTGTACAAGATGCGAGACTGGCTGATCCCGTGGTCCTTGACTGTCCCTGGACTGCAGTCAAGTGACATGAACTTCAGACAGCCTGGGAGGTTGAAGACCAATCAAAAAAGGGTTTAGGTGTTAGTGACCGGGCAAGGTCAGTACCACGTATAAGTATAGGAATCCCCCATGCTAGGAGCACATGACACTCTCCATAAGCCCTTAGCACGCTGGCCGAAGTTGGGGTCACCTTAATACGTTCCAATACATTAGAACCCTCATCGCGACTCCACAAGAGGACCATAATTTCTTGAAACCCTACTCCCAACATGTCTCTTATGTCCCTATACATACACACTCTTATGCACCCCACATAGACCTTCTAACCACATTGCAGTCCCTTAAGTGTGGAAAGCCCTGATGTAACCCCTACATATCCCTATTTGAGCTTCAGTCGGAACTCCTAGCATCCCCTTAATAACCCCTATAATACTCCCCCATAATCCCCTAGACAACCCAGTTTAAGGAATTTAGACTATAGTTCATATAACCCTACATACACTCCTGGCAGCTTTCCTTCTTCTAAGTTCTAAGGCAGTCTCAGCTTCGGGCGCCTGCCTGCGGCAGACAGGCGCCGCATGCCGTAGGGTTTAGGGTTTAGCGATTCCACCTAAGGTAGGGTGTTGTTCTAAAGCAAGATTCCACCTAAGCCAGGCTTTAGAACAATACCCCAGTAGCCAAAGTTGAAAGGAGGAATTGCACATGAGATGGAAGCTGGGCTTGAAGGGTTCGCAATGTAGAGGCCTATATACCTAGTTAGGATGGGGTTTGGAGCATGTTATGTTATAGTGATATAAAAGATCATTAAGGAACGATCCTGGTAATTATTCAGGCTTCTATACTACACGCCCCCCAGTCGTAGAGGCAGTAGATCTTGGGAAAGTATGGCGCCTGCAATGCGATGGGCTTGTTGACTAAGTACTGATTTTAGGAACCTCCACAGAAGGGAACCCTAAGTGTGAAAAAGACCCTATCTGCCTATGAGAGCTCAAATGTCCCCACGTATGATCCTGTGCAGGGACTGCGTGATCCGAAACCTAAACCCTAAACCCCGACTGCTGGAGATGAATGGGCCTACAGCAATGAAACCCAGAGTCTGCGTTTTTGGGAAACCTCCTGAACCTGCACGACTGAGTGGCAGATAGCAAGGTGGAAGCAGTGACAGGTAGTGAAGTGGTAGGTCTGTAGCCTGCTGTCTTAGTCCTGTTCTTGTGCTTGGTTGAGACCGTAGTTGTAGTGTAGTGGTGAAGTGCCGACCTGAACGTTTTCTGCCGTGCTTGCAGTGTGCGATGCGCGTGTCTAAACCCCAAACCTGGGCTCTTGTTAGAACAAAATTTTACATTTTTGTGTGTACCTGGGCCCAATATCAATAAAACAAGTTTCTTTTTTAATTGTATTTCAACAAGAACCCAGAAACGTTAAACCCTAAACTACATCGTCAGGATCGTAATTCAATTCTTGAAAACCCACCGAACTTTCACTAGAACCACCTTAGATATGTACAACTATATTAGTCTTTTACAAGCATATTTTTGAAATGGCCAGCAAGGCGAGGGTGAGCGGTGTTTTATCACGGGCCCTGAGCCCTAGATGCTGCATGACATAGTAGTTGCCGCTATCGTTTCCATTTCCCTACCTGCCCCTCCAGTCAGAGGCAACTAAGGGCGAACTTTGGGCGGATTTAGGGGCTGGGAATCGTAAAATCAAATTCTGAACCCTAAACCCTAGGTAGCAAGGGGAACCGCCTTAAATTTCTGTAAGTCCATTGTGTAAGTCGTATGTAGCCCTAAGCCCTCAGATGCCCTGAAGCCTGTAGTCCCCCTTAAGTAGATAGAATATTGCATCGGGTGTATTATAATAGGATCCCCATATACCCCTCATATTCTTCCCCTAAACTCTAAACCCTAAATATCCCATACTCTCTCTACCTCAGGGGGACTATAGATAGCAAGGGGAGGGGATGATGGACCTTGCCCAGGGCCACTGCTGGTGCAGGCCGGGGCCCTGGCTGCACTCCTGGGTAGGGATGAGGATGTAGGGATGGGTTGAGGGATAAGGGTTTTAGAGTGTAGGGGTTAGGGTTTAGGGTTCAGGGTTTAGGAATTAGGGTTTAGGGATTTGGGTTCAGGGTTTAGGGTTCAGGAAATGGGGTTTAGGGATTAGGTCTTAGGGTTTAGGGAGTACGGTTCAGGGTGTAGCGTTCAGGTTTTAGGGTTCAAAGTGTAGGGATTTGGTCAAAAGAAGGGCTACTCTGATTCCTTGGTTCCAGGAAGCTGTTGATCACCTTGCGAATCAGGGAACGCATGGTGGACCTTCAGGCTTTATGTCTAAGGGTCGTAGCGGGACTCTTCTCAGGGGTCGCTTGTGGGATGCGTCCTCTCATCCCTTACAATGCCGCAGTGAGTGGAAGCTGTCACATCCGGAGCCGTAATCATTATAGTCACCCTTAAGTAGATAGAATATGGCTTCGGGTATATTTTTCAATAAGATCCCCGTATACCCCATATTCTATCTACCCGAGGGGGCTACGATCCCCAAGCCATCAATGTTTGCCTTGCTCGCCGAGGTTGCAGTCAAGAATTTCACTGATGTATCACCTGCCGGGCCCGACTCTGGACTCCAATCCGCACTCCTTGGCCACTATGGCATAGGCGGGACTTGGTCAGAAAAGTCATTCTGGCCACCTCAAGAGGGGTTTATGTGCTCCCTGTAGCTATTCTGGGGCCCCTACAGGCCCTGAAGAGCTCCCCTATTTGCTGGAAACCCTAGGTGGCAATCCCTATTACATGTGTGTTCCCGGTAGACCATGACAACAACATTTAACCTCACAACCTGGTGCAAACCCAGTTCCCATTCCATTTTCTATGTTCCCCATTTGACCTTCCACGAT